CTACTATCTAGCCACCACTTATCTACTTGTCCTACTATCTAGCCACCACTTATCTACTTGTCCTACTATCTAGCCACCACTTATCTACTTGTCCTACTATCTAGCCACCACTTATCTACTTGTCCTACTATCTAGCCACCACTTATCTACTTGTCCTACTATCTAGCCACCACTTATCTACTTGTCCTACTATCTAGCCACCACTTATCTACTTGTCCTACTATCTAGCCACCACTTATCTACTTGTCCTACTATCTAGCCACCACTTATCTACTTGTCCTACTATCTAGCCACCACTTATCTACTTGTCCTACTATCTAGCCACCACTTATCTACTTGTCCTACTATCTAGCCACCACTTATCTACTTGTCCTACTATCTAGCCACCACTTATCTACTTGTCCTACTATCTAGCCACCACTTATCTACTTGTCCTACTATCTAGCCACCACTTATCTACTTGTCCTACTATCTAGCCACCACTTATCTACTTGTCCTACTATCTAGCCACCACTTATCTACTTGTCCTACTATCTAGCCACCACTTATCTACTTGTCCTACTATCTAGCCACCACTTATCTACTTGTCCTACTATCTAGCCACCACTTATCTACTTGTCCTACTATCTAGCCACCACTTATCTACTTGTCCTACTATCTAGCCACCACTTATCTACTTGTCCTACTATCTAGCCACCACTTATCTACTTGTCCTACTATCTAGCCACCACTTATCTACTTGTCCTACTATCTAGCCACCACTTATCTACTTGTCCTACTATCTAGCCACCACTTATCTACTTGTCCTACTATCTAGCCACCACTTATCTACTTGTCCTACTATCTAGCCACCACTTATCTACTTGTCCTACTATCTAGCCACCACTTATCTACTTGTCCTACTATCTAGCCACCACTTATCTACTTGTCCTACTATCTAGCCACCACTTATCTACTTGTCCTACTATCTAGCCACCACTTATCTACTTGTCCTACTATCTAGCCACCACTTATCTACTTGTCCTACTATCTAGCCACCACTTATCTACTTGTCCTACTATCTAGCCACCACTTATCTACTTGTCCTACTATCTAGCCACCACTTATCTACTTGTCCTACTATCTAGCCACCACTTATCTACTTGTCCTACTATCTAGCCACCACTTATCTACTTGTCCTACTATCTAGCCACCACTTATCTACTTGTCCTACTATCTAGCCACCACTTATCTACTTGTCCTACTATCTAGCCACCACTTATCTACTTGTCCTACTATCTAGCCACCACTTATCTACTTGTCCTACTATCTAGCCACCACTTATCTACTTGTCCTACTATCTAGCCACCACTTATCTACTTGTCCTACTATCTAGCCACCACTTATCTACTTGTCCTACTATCTAGCCACCACTTATCTACTTGTCCTACTATCTAGCCACCACTTATCTACTTGTCCTACTATCTAGCCACCACTTATCTACTTGTCCTACTATCTAGCCACCACTTATCTACTTGTCCTACTATCTAGCCACCACTAATCTACTTGTCCTACTATCTAACCACCACTAATCTGATTGTCCTACTATCTAGCCATCACTTATCTACTTGTCCTACTATCTAGCCACCACTTATCTACTTGTCCTACTATCTAACCACCACTAATCTGATTGTCCTACTATCTAGCCATCACTAATCTACTTGTCCTACTATCCAGCCACCACTAATCTACTTGTCCTACTATCCAGCCACCACTAATCTACTTGTCCTACTATCCAACTACCACTAAACTGCTTGTCCTACTATCTAGCCACCACTAATCTGTTTGTCCCACTCTACAGCCACCATTAATCTGCTTGTCCTACTATCCTACAAATCTGCTTGTCTTTCAACAAACCACCACTAGCTGTTTGTTCTGCTATCCAGTCAGGTGTTTAAAGGTACATATTTCCCCTTCTCTATAAATGTATTTCCCAGTTTTCCAATCAAGCCATTTTATTGAGGCATCACTCTAGTAGGACTGTTTAGTGTGCTTAATATTACAGCATATAACAGCATACCATTAAGTCACTGATGAAAAACTTTTCAAATGGATAAAATATGTTCATATCTCATTATATGTCTTATGGTACATGTCCATTTGTAAAATCATCTGAAATCATATTTAAATTGCAGGTTAAATATAAACATATCATATGATTCTGGTGTTCAACGCAGTGAAACATCTATATCATTTTCTTTCATAAAATTAGTATTGTGATATAAAGGCACCTGATGTTTACCCATATCAGATAGGATGCATACCACTCATCCCAATTTTTTTCATTCTACCTAATATGATGCTCGAAAAAGGAGAAATTCTTGACCGATGTCATTTATCTTTATGAAATGGAAACGCCTCCTGTATATATGATATATATGATCTAAACATATATTTTCAATTTTATCTTTATATGATGTGTTCTATCATATTAATGTATAATAACTAACGATACCTTGATGAACTCGTCATCAATAGTGACCTTGACTTGACCTTTACCCAGTACCAATGAGTGGTAGCATTTAAAGCCGGTAAAGCAGACTGCCTACGTCTTCAGAGACAAATCTAGTTTGGTAGACATTTGTAGTTCCAACTGGGACACATCTCGTTTGGTAGACAGTTGTAACATTATACCACCCGAGATATTCACAGACAGGTGATTGGTCTCTGTACCTAGTCTGTATAGGGACAATCACGACCTCATTGGTCTCGAAGGATTCAAAATTCATAGGACAATCCCTACGACCTTATTGGTCTCGAAGGATTCAAAATTCATAGGACAATCCCTGTCTCCTTGACAACACATTCAAACTTCCTAACATTATTACGGTCTCCTTGGTCTAGCCTGATTCAATTCCATACCACTATCACCTTGGTCTCCAGTTATTCTAACATTACACCGCAACTTCATTGGTCTCGCATGATTTAACCTTCACATCGCAACCACCTTGGTCTAGCATGATTCAAACTTCATACCACAATCACGCTGGTCTCACATTCATGATTCAAACTTTGTACCATTAACCAAGGTTTCTTTGGTTTGGTTGGTTTATATAGTTTGTGTCCAATTAACAGCTATGTTGAGTTAAGGACATTTGCCTCCATGTGTGTAGTGTATGCTGGTGTGTTTGCTTCCATGTGAAAGCGCGGATCTGAAGCCGACCTTAGAGTGATAACTCACTGAAATACCATTCTGCAGGCACCAGGCACGGTACTACATGTACGCCCAGTCACATTACACTAACACCAGTCAATCAGTCATTGCACCTACCCTAACTGCCCAAGTAAAGGTTACCCTGAGTGTTCATATTCAACCACCAATTAAGTTTACGTAACAAAATTAAGTGCTTGCTCTTTTCTCAATCAACAAATGCAATAAAATTTGATAAATAAATTGTGAAAAAAATACATATCTGAACATGTGGTTTCATCATTAATTTATACCAAAACTTTGTGAAAAAATATTGACTTATCAAGATTTGATCATGCATTTCAGGACAGGATCCAGTAAAAATATACACATTCTTCAGATAAATGGATACTTTTCTTTGGTGTTTTCCAAACATTAAAACAAAGTGTTGAAATATTGTGCCATTAAATTCTGCATGTTTTACAATCCTAGCGTTATAGTGTTATATAATTTATAGCTGTCCCTACCATACTGGACTTGCACCCAAACAACCCTGATGTTGGCATCTAGACAAATGGCAGATGTGAGTAAACTGCAGCCCAATGTACAAGACAACAGATGTTGTGTAGATAGCTATACAATATATTATATAATTATTTATTTCGTAAATCATTAAGGTATTTTAGTCTACGAGTAACTTAACAGTAATATTATCATCAATTACAATAATAGAAATAGCTCCAAAATGTTTAATTCATTCAGTACAGGTTATTGCCATCATATAGCATTCGAACATCGCCCAGCACAAGGACAACAACCCTACCGATACCCCTGTCACAGTCCATTAGGAACTGCCATACCAGTGTCTGCAATAGCACAAACAGATTGTCCAGTACAGAGTAACAAATGTGATCCCCCCAAGATCAGAAACAGCAGTAGAATACCCAGTAGTACCCCTTGTCTGTTGTGGTCAAATCACTGCCATAGCAATCTGATGTGGCTTTTGGCATTTCATTCCCTGTAAAATCTGATGCTTCTTCTGTAAATGGATTTGCTGCTCTGATAATTCAAATCACTAGAGTCTCACTCTACGCACAACAGATCAGTTTATCATATTTATTTTTTTGCACTTACAGTCTCAAGTAGTTTTCCCCTTTGTGCTGGTATCTTTAACTCATTTACCCCTGAAATTTCATAATGAACTATTCCAACCTTTGAATTGGAGGAGTTCAAATGTGTCTTCTGGGGGGAATAAGTTAGCCTTTCAAGATCTTGTTACGGAGTTTGTATGCATAGCTAGATTTATCCTTCCTGGGCTTTCATATACAGGTTGTCTTCCATTTTGTTTTGGTGATCATGACCTCGAATGTCTTTTGCCATTTTTAGGAGAAATCAATTTAAACAATTACACTATAACGTTATTTTGATTCAACCAAGTTCATCATTCCTCAGCTAACAGACTATTCATTGATGTTTTTTTCCTTCTTGTTTTGGTGTCCTTTTCGTTACTGTTTTAATATTTTGTTTCATGCCCTCGTTAAGTTCAGGTTAATCAAAACAAATACTGACAAAATGTGTGCAGTCAGGTTTCTGAATTAACCCATACTGTACATTTTTTTGCTATAGGATATTAAATATTTTAATTTGTTAAATTATGTTTTGCAAAATTTCAAAATTGTTTTACCTTCAGTGACATGGTTGAGTAGACATGGTATTATTGCCATGTTGTTGAGTGTATTTAAATTGTTCAATTATGTCATATACTATACAGAAAGGAAATGACTGGATATAAAATGTATAGAGAAATGGCAGGACAGAAACAAGTACTTACTAGATACCACATCCGAGGCCATTTCGGATCGTTGAATGACTGGTGGGGAAAGTATAAACTTCTTTTTTTCCTTTTTTTGGCAACTTGTTGTTCTAACCACCGTACCTGGAAAACACAAAGGAATGATCTTTTGTTAAATAGGTATACAATGCAAGGTTTAATGGTAACATTAGTGTTAAACAGGAAAATAAATAGCAGTATTACACGGTTAACACACCAAGGCAATTAGCAACGGACATGTCATCCCTCATTGTCCGACAGTGTAGAGCTAACACACAAACCACAAACACTTAACCACCCACCTGATGTGTGTACTTAAAATAGTTCCCAACAATAACTTTTATGAACCTTTCCTTATGCTGAAGGATATTTCCTCCCCTGAAGGACCGGAACAGTGACGGATGAGGTCGGTGTGGTGTCTTATTCACCTGCATTATTTGGAGCGTGTTGTCAGAAGTGACAACATTGGATAATTAGAAATCAACAGGTATGGATGGAGTTTTCACCCCAGCTGAGCGGGATCAGCTTCACCTAACCCTCCACAGAATGTCACAGTCTATATATGAATGGCAGATGAGTAATTTCAGTTGCCAAATTCTAAAAACAAGTGATGGAAAGGTTTACGTGAGCAATTAGTATTTGAAATTTTCTATGCCACCCAACACCACTATCTGTCATTAAAGTCATCCCTGTGTACTTTAGCAAGAGACAACCCCCCAGATTCCAAATGTTGAGCATTGCAAAAAACTGGACCATCTGAAGGCACTATGTTAAAGTGTACAGCGAAAAAAACTAGTTTGTTTAGGGTGCTGAGGCTAATCTACACCCACCGGTTCAGGGCAAAGACATAGCTAACATGCTTCCGTTACACTCTTACCACGAACACTGCAGTACATTATGTCAAACACTTGCAATAAAAACTTTTAAAGGGACTCATTTTATGTCAGGTATTTGTGAAATCATATAGTTTTACCGGCCAGGAATGATGTTCTCGCGCTCACTTTCAAGAACTGATTTTTTTCTCTCTCTTTCTAGCAGTCAGATGGGGTGTTCTAATTGTGTACTAGTTTGAAGATTTTAAAGACATGTAGCAATTTTGTAAAGAATTTACTCATCATCACCAGATTTATAACAGACACAAAATAATCTGCGAAATTCTTCTATTATCCAGTATCATAAACCACAGCCATTAATTGTGTAAAACGATTAAAACCAAGGGCTGTATCCCCATCAAAGGGCCGGATGCTGTTTCTCTCCAAGTGGCCCATTTGTCTATACTGTTATTACAGTAGAACTAGAGACATAGACATCATCGGTACACCGATGGCTATTAGCCCATTATAATGCTGCATTGTATCTAGATTAATTGTTAGGTACAGAGTGAAACAACTTGTGATTAGGCTGAGGGGGTGGGCCTCGTGGAATCACCCCTGCCGATGGGAGAAGTTCTTACGCAGGTTAACAACTGAAGTAGGTAAAATCCATCAGAGCTCTCTACGTTACAGTGACGAGTGTTGAAAGGTCTATCAAATGTTACCAGTAACACATGGAGGTGTTCCCCACTCGTAACATACAGAAAGGTTGCATATTTGTGGGGTAGTTGAGAATTACCAGCAATCAGAAACGTTCCACGATAAGACAGAAAGTGGCCTGTATAAATCATTAATATTGGTACAACAATAACAATTTTCAGTAAAACCTAACTTCTGCAAAAATCTTTTACTGTGATGTATTATTATAATTAAGTCATTATCTTCGCAAGGATTTATTTTGATGAATATTACCCATTCAACCCTAAAGTCACATTTGAACCTTACCAAATCAAAGATTGGGTAAGTCCAGTTTAAATATGTAGGGGTGAGTGAGTTAAAGTCTATAAACAAGTTTACTGTATGTATGTTTTTTTTGCACTGGCTGATTACGGAAAGGATGTACGAAAAAAAGTTAGAAAACTGCAAAAGAAAAGAACACGTAAAAGCTGAATGTAATGGGGCTGATGAAAGAAAATATAGTTGAAGTAGAAAATGTGGGAGTTAAGAGTGATTGAAGTGGAAATTATAAGAAGGAGAATGTAGAAGAATTAAGAGTATGGGATAGAAACGTAGAGAGGATAATAGAGGAAAATGGGGAAATACATAAATGAGAAAACGGAAGGGGGATAGAAGAGAGATGGTAGATAATAGAGGAAAATGGGGAAATACATAAATAAGACTAGAAAATGTCTGTAAGACATAAATGCCCCCACTGCCATGTGAAATTAGTTTCAGTGTTCTATAAAATACAACCACTTTGATCTTGATACCCTGAAACATGCACACACAAGGTACTACACTTAAAGTTGATAAGTTGATCTTAAAATTTATGTTTTTTCTGTATGTTATTACCATCCCCATAACATATTGAATGAAGTTGCTAAGTGTTTAAATTGAATCAGTTGATGATTTTCTATATATAGCAAGTGACCTTGGCCTTGACCTTGGGACCCTGAAACACACCAATGTCCGAAGTATACTTATACTTGACCTTTGCATAAGTTTGACCAGTGGGGGGAGACAGTTTGGAGAAATAAAGGGTGGGTAGAGATAGGGGGAGGAATAAAGAGAGGAGAGTGGAGGAAGAGGATGGGTAAAGGTGTGAGACGACATGATATAGAGGGAGACAGGAATAGGCCCAGAGGGGTAGGAAGTATAGAGAAGCCGAGTCAGAGGGGTAGGAAGTATAGAGAAAAATGGGTAGTGGAACGGTAAGTTGATATAATGGCCTATGGCAGATGGGACAGAGGAAAAGGGAAAAGGAGATAGGGAAAACGAATGTGGAAGAGTATGACAGGTAGGAGAAGGGGTCAGGGAAAGGGAAAGGGGATATATGTTTGTTTTAGCTAATGTAGAAGGTTATGGAAGAGAAAATATAATCTAGAGGGATTAAGTCTAGACGGCAGGTGAGTAGGGAAAGAAGGGAGGTAAAGGAGAATGTGAGGGAGCCAGGGTAGGGGTGGGAGGTAGGGAGTAGAGGGTAGGGGTGTGTGTACCACTAAACAGAGATGGCAGGCTCATACATAACACATAGCCCCCTATATACATGTGTACACCTTATCATGCATGCATGAAATAGCATGTATTAGCACGGGCCTTGGCAGTCCTATAGTTCATCTGTCAGAGCCAATCAGCTTCCCCGGCCTAATGGTCAGCTCCACACACACTGTGTATAAACACCCATATCATAGACATACCTTATTCCAACAGATACCAAACCCTTCAATACATCACAGATATGTGGCCAAAACATAGCAATAGCTTGTTTATTGACTCCAAAAATATGGCTCTGGCTTCCAAGGCAGTTCGCCTCTAACCTCATAAAGGAGAAGAAATGTCTATGATATGGGTGCAAGTACACACTCCAGGTATCTCTGGCAATTGTATATAATCTTATCGGTTTGTCAGTGAACTAAAATGTGCATGAAGTCAAATGAAAAACAGTCAGAATGTTTGAAAGTCATATTGTTAGTAGTCATTGTCTTGAATCCATAAATTATTTATTTATTTAATTTACAGCCCTGCAACGAGATATCAAAAAGTTTTTTATTTTTTTATTTTTCATGTTTTTTTTAACTTAATTTTCATATTTTTACCATGAACAGTTCAAAGCTTCGTGAATCCTTATTGTCAATAATTACGAACTCAACATGTAGCAAAGAACTTATACCAATTGCACTGCATTCACAGATAGAGACAAAATCCTTCAAGAGTTCTGGTCTTAGTAGTTAAGAACTGTTTTGGAATAGGATTGTGTTTTGTAATAGGATTTTAAAGCACACAATAGCCAATCATTCATAGGATTGTAAAGCATTCCTATTACAAAAAAACATTCCTCCTACTAAAAACTCTTTAAAAGATTTTGTCTCTGAATGATTTATCATTGATAAAACTGTTCTTTGTTGCATCTTGTACATTTTTAAACTCACTAATTACAATCTTTTTTCGCATGGAAAGAAGAACATCACTGTAACTCTGAATCTACATAGAAATATAGTGAGGTGTCTCAGCTCAATAAATAGCTCTTTTGTTGATCACATTTTCCAATAGTCTACTGACTGTGGTCATTGCCAAGGGTACTGTGAATCTGACCATCTGTATCGGACAATGGGGTCAGCTTCATCACTGTGAGGATCAATAAGGCTAGCACAAATATTCACCATTATCAAACTCTATAAACATTTACATTACCCAATCCCCAAGGTATACAGACATACAAACATTAACCCTTAACCAAGTACCACTAGTTAATATAGACATACACACGTTTACCATTAAAGAGACATCATTATAGACATACAAATATTTGCCATTAACAAAGCACCATTTGACATTAACCATTAACCAAGCACCATTTGACATTTAACAATAACAAAGCACCATATGACATTAACCATTAACAAAACACCATTTGACGTTTACCATTAACCAAGCACCATTTGACATTTGCCATTAACAAAGCACCATATGATATTTACCATTAACCAAAGACCACTAGACATTTTACATTTACCATTTATAAGGCACCATTACAGACATTCATAATATTACAATTTACCAAGCACTATTATCATATATAAGGACAGACAATTTTTACCATGAACCGAGTTCCACTTTACATAGAAATAATAACCATTAAAAAAGCATCAAGCACCAAGCACCACCAGACATCCAAACAAGTACCTCCAGCTTACATACAGATATTTACCATAAACCAAGCATCATTGGCTTATAGACACAGACATTAAACATACAGCAAGCACCTCTGGCTTATATAGACATATAGATATTTACCATAAACCAAGCATCTCTGGCTTATAGAAACAGACATTTAACATACAGCAAGCACCTCTGGCCTATATAGACATATAGATATTTACCATAAACCAAGCATCTCTGGCTTATAGACACAGACATTAAACATACAGCAAGCACCTCTGGCTTATATAGACATATAGATATTTACCATAAACCAAGCATCTGTGGCTTATAGACACATACATTTAACATACAGCAAGCACCTCCAGCTTATTTAGACATATAGATATTTACCATAAGCCAAGCATCTGTGGC